TATTGTAATCAAAAGGAGAAGTCAAATGAAGAAGGCAAAATAACTCCAAGGGAACAAAACTTTCTTTATGAAAGGATGGACATTGGAAGGGGTATTTGCAAGAAATGTCTTGCAAGTGTCAAGAACACACCTTTCGAAGGTGTTGTAATATGTTCTTGAAATAGTTCAAAACAGTTGGTTCTTCTACTTGAATGCTTGATTCCGTATTAGTAACTATGTTTTACAATTGTTGTAAAAGTGTGCTAATAAAAAGTAGAAGATTAATGAGAGAAGAGAAAGTACTTCACATTCGGAAAGTGAATAAAATATAGATCTCTGCGAAAGCGGATTGTACTTACTTCCTCATATGAACTACCAAAGAAATTGGAAAATACTAAAGATTGTCTTTACATTCCAATTTTAAGGAACTTAAATCCGTCACTATAGTAGAGATGGATAAATGTTTTGTTTGACAAAACATTGTTCTTTATTAATGAATGATTAGATTATGGTAATCTAATTAATTGTCTCTGTAGTAGAGATGATGTGGTAGTGTTAACTGTTTAAGAATATAACGATGCTTAAAACCCAAAAGGTTGCAAGGTAGTGACTAATCCCAACTGAGTTGTGATACCTCTAAAACATAAGTTACGAGTTGGTCATAGATGGATGCTTTGGATCGTTAGATCCGGATCCAATACCTTCTTGTTAAAATTGTATGGAGGCGAAATGTTTGAATCTTTATTCTTTTGGAAAGAAGAAAGAATCACAAAGTTGTTGAGGTTAATTCACTTAGATGTTAGTGGCACTTGTCCACAACATAATACTACTCATGTTGTATGACATTCACCGAAGATCACTCTCGGTTGGACTATAGTTTATTTTGAATAAACACAAGTCCGAATACTTTGCAAAAGGTTTCAAAGAATTCAAGAAATGTAAGTAGATGAGTAAGACGTCTAAAGTATTTACCTCCTTAGATTTGATCCAAGAAAAAAGTAACACTTTAGATTAATTTCCTTGAAAAATATCAAGAAAAGTAGCATCGTAAGATAATGAATTTCTCCATTAGGAGAAGAATGAACATAAATAAGATTTAGTTCGTTGGACATTATCAATTACCCATATATATATGATATATACTTCTAAGACAACCTAATTCCTACACCACAAGCTCCAAGGTAGTCGAGAAGGATTTATAAATCGTCTCAGTTGAATGGTTTGAACTTTATGACTATGTCATAGAATTACACCTCTTAATTCGAAAGAAATAAGAATGAAAATCCTTATGACTACACTGAGTGTATATATATGACATATACTCAAGGAAATGGTAAAGTACCATTTGAATCGAAATAATGAAACCTTAATAGCTAATCGGTAGCTTAAGGTGACTACACTCAAAGAAAATGGTTGACTTTGAAGAAACCGTCTTTGACATAGTCTTAGTTTCAATTAATTCGAAGATTGCTAGAAACAACTAAATGATGATTCAATGTTTGGACATAATATGGGTTTCCGAAACAATTATCAAGATAGTCTTGATAATATATGTCTAAAACTAAGAATCACAAGACATATAAGTTGTAGAGATCCATCCATCATAAATCTCAGCAAGTTAGTGGGAGCTATAAGCATCTTATGAGAAAAAGGATCAAATCGTTTGATTTCTCATAAAGATGTAAATGAATCTTTTGTTTACTAGGTTTACAAAAGATTAGTGGGAGTTAATCATATTCCTAAATTTGAATATATATACATGATATATATTAATTTTGAAAATGAAAGGAATTCTTCATCGTTAAAGTTATGACTTTAAATATTCTATAATGATAGAATGTATATGGGAGACATAGTCTATATACATGGGATGGAAATCTATAATGATAGATTTCAAGATATAATTGGATTATATCAATCCCTAAAATAGACAAGAGATGCTAGGAAGTTTCTCATATGATGATAAACTTCAATTAGAATGACAATTCTAGTGAGACTAGGAAGTTGTTCTTCTCAAAGGGAATGCACCCTTTGACTCCCAAAGAAATAATGCGTAAATAGAATCCTTTATGCATACGCAGAAAGGTGATTTATGTATTTCATATTGTATGAAAACATTGATATAAGTTGTACCTAGAACGGTACAAGATGATATCAGTGCAAGCCCAGGATCAGAACCATGGCAACTGTCAAGTGAATCCTTAGGTATTTAAGAAATACTAAGGATGGATTCCTCAAGAATGAGGAAGAATTAGAGTAACGTAATGGAAGCGTAAATGTATTAGATTATGAATCTAATCCATCATAGAATATCTCTTCATTATGAATGAAGTGATAATGAGATATCTCTTTATTATGACTAAAGAGATATTTGGGTGGAAACGTTAAAAGTAATGACTTTAATGTGTTCCATCATGTATGCAAAATATATTGCCATATAGAAGCTTACAACATTGTTGTTTGGATGGGAAAGTTCATTTATGAACTCTCCATTCGGTTCCAACCAGAAAGTGTATGACACTAATGGGGCGATAGCTCAAGCCAGGGAATCAAGGTCTCATCAAGGTCCGAACTCAAATGAGAGACTGAACCACATGATTGAGAATCATGTATAATGGTGACGTCGTTATTCTCAAGGTTGCTTCTATGGATAACATATAGATATCCATTGTCTAGGCCTACTACTCAGCCATTTATGAAATGACTACAGAAGAGGTATCATCACTGATGACTAAGCTGATTGGCTCTAGTGCAAGTGGGAGATTGTTGGAAATGTGCCCTAAAACCAATCATATGATGATACTTTATGGACATTTCACATGTTAAACTAATCTAGTTTAATATTAAGGGCAAACATTATTGTTTGAGCCGTCTCATATAAATGTTATATGCTTAAACGATAAGTCCAAGGAATATGTGATTGGGAGAATGCGATCTAAAGAAGTTAGATTCATGAGACCATTCTTTCGTAGACACATCCTAAACGTTCCTGATCATAGGATTGCCAATTGGGCATTGACAGTCCGTTAAGATCAGTACGTGCTGTGTCTTCTCTCAGGGAGAGTGACTAGTCTCGAGTCATTGGTGTGAGTGACACCAAGACAAGCATGTAGGTGCTCAATAGAGAATGAGTTCACTGAACACGATCAACGAGGAGTTCTCATATTCATGTCACATGAGAACTCATGGTTGGGATAATGCAAAGTAGTCCTTTGACCTGAGGCATCACAGCTGTCTTGTGGTTAGGTACTTGATCTTTGATTATGTCAAAAGTCACTCTATCAGGGTGTCCACGGCATCGTCGGGGTTAAGCCACTTAGCCATGGAGGCAAGTGAATGCGCAACAAGGGATCTCTAACCTTCAAACTGTTTGAGGGAGAATACTCTATGATATGATTTAGAATCTCTGGCCAGAGTATGAATAAGATGTTGGAATGCGTTCCAGATCACATTCAAGGTAATCATATAAGTACAAGATTCACATTGGATAGTAGACATGAATAAACTATCAAACCAAACAATGTGGTCAAGAGTATTGTATTAGAGAAAGACCGTATTGCATTTGTAATCCTAAACTGAATAGGTTCTCCACCTCTTCTGATTAGCTTGGGTAACCATGATATGCTGCTAGGTGTCACTCATGGTTTGTGGAAGCCCTAAACGTGTATAAACACTAAAGGGAGAATTGAAAGTAAGTTTCAATTCACAATCGATTTGAAAGAGTTTGAATCGCCCACTGCCTCGCTAAAAGGAACCTAATGGATCGTACACCGTGTAAGGTAGAGATTGAAGATTCAACGGAGATGAGTAAGAATAATTAAATGGTTTAATTATTTATGGCAAGGATTAATTAATATGTTAATTAATCAAACGAATAAGTTCGTTAAAAGACCTCGGGATAGTTTTGGACCTTAAGGCCCAATGGGCTTCGAACGTCAAGTCCATTGACTTAAGTTGTATGACAACTTAATGAATAATGATTCACAAAGGCCCAAATAGCCCAATAAATCCCCTTAGGTCGGCCATTTAGAGGAGGGTAGTGAACTTGGCTTAATTGCAAGTTTGCCACTCCATTGTGAGGTGGTATAAAGACATCTTTATAGCCATTTCATCCTTAGGGTTTTCTTGGGAGTAAAGATGAGAACACAAACCTCCCTTTGCTCTCAAAGAGGCCGGCCAATCTAGAGGGGAAAATCTAGCAATCTTACTTCCTCTAGGTCACTCATTTCTTCTTCAATATGCCTTGGTGTGGAGACTTAGAGGTTCTCAATTTTGGGAACTTGGAGAAACCTTTTCATCCATCCAAATCCATAGATCTAAGATGCAAGGAATGAAGGCCCTCTCTTTGGGTGATTAGCCTTTGCTTATGCAAAGAGGAATCTACAAAGGTATTGATTTCTCAACTCACTTTGTTTTGAGTTGAGTCTTGGTTCACCTATCTACTAGGCTTTGAAGTTCATAGGTTAAGTTTTGTTTTTGAGTGCATATAAACATGATTCCGCCTTTTAATTGTTAATTGCATGTTGTTGATGTTGCTCAAATGAACTTGTTTTTCACAAATCTTCCTTCAGTTTAGTGCCCAAATCATTAAAAACAAAAAGTTTGGACCGTCGATTCTGTGAAAGAAAAAGAAAAAGAAAAAGGAAAAAAAAAAAAAAAAAAACCTTCCTATGTCACCGCACTTGTGATCGATGATTTAACGGGTAGGAGAACCTCAATTTTACTACACTAAAGTGTGACATTGTGACATTGGGCTTGGCCAGCAATAAACCGAACCAAACAACTGATTTTGTGAGAGAAGATGTACTAGCCCCACGTTGGGGCAAATCGGTGCGTATCTTTTAGTTAGTGTTTTGATTTACAGTCTAAATTATATTTGGTGTAACATTTAGTTATTTTTTCTTCTTTTTTACAAGGGAGACAACTGGTAGCAAGCTATGATTATCCATTCATTCTGGGGTTTGGAAAGATTCACAGAAGCATTTCAGCTTTCTCCTGACCGCAAATCTAACTTCCACATTGTAACATTTAGTATATCGTTACTGGCAACAACGAAAAGCAAATTTTTCTGCAATAATATTGGTACTTACCACCAACAACTATCTAATACAATGCATAGGTTATATGCTGAATTCAAATAGAGAAGAACATGTAAAGTTTGTGTTTGATTAGCAACGAAACTGCTGGCTTAAGACCATCCGATAACTGCGACAAGAACATAAAGCAGAAGCAGTGATAGGGGGTACAGAGTGTATGCTAGAATGCTTGTCCAAAATGGGAACTTTCTGCTGAAGCTGGCAGAAAGACCAACCGCTGTCGAGATAAGTAAAACAACTAAAACTTCAGCAGAGACGTCCCATGATAAATTGCGTATGTAAACAAGGGCCAAAAATACGACCAACCCCGAAATGTTGTTCATGAACGCCGCGTTGTAAATCTGCAGAGAACAATTCAAATGTTAGATAATGGTGATTATATGAGGTTGCAGTGTTGTGTTTTGGCTCACCAAAAGTGTTAGGGACGGATTTTTGGAGTAGAAATCGGTGAAAATAAGTATCTTACATCATCAGACGCTTAAGTGTGTAATAGTAGTTAAAACAATATATTTGAGTTTATGGAGAGAAACAGACCTCAGAAAGTGTTAAAGAAATTGCATTCTCCGTTCTGTCTCTGGCAGACGTTACTGACATTAGTGCCAGTCTGTAGTTTGTAGACAAGGGTATCACAACATAAGAGACCGCGAAAGAAGGGATGCTTGCCGCTGTGGAGAACTCTTGGAGACTTACCATGAGCGGCATTGAAAGAAAAACCGTCATGGCAGTTCCTAGAGTAATTAGAAAAACAGCCTTCAGGAGATTCATCCACGATTTATCAGCACCCTTAGTCTTCTTTTTCTTAGAGATCAGCGGCGTCTGCTGATCTTCCTTAGTTTTCTCATTCTGCAAGGACAATTTAATGACCCGGATGAAAATCTAGTTTTTATAAGCATTGAAATATAGTCCTATCAGGAAAACGTGGGCATCAGAGCAAATGTGCTCCTCCCTTATGCAGGTAATTTCAAGTCCCTCTTCCCGCGGTTTTACATTAGTTTAAAGTAAAATATCATTTGTCAAAAATATATTTATAGTCCTAATAGGGCTGAACTTGTACCTTTGAATTATTTCTTCTGAAAAGCGATTTATGTTCATGACCTTTACTGTTGGCAGAGGGCATAACTGGATTAATCCATTTTGAGATTCCATTCACAAAGTCCGTCTCAGCTATTTGAGCGTCGCCAGAGATATCAAATTGCTTCATCACTTCTGCTACATAATCATCGTCATCCAGACCAAATTCTTCTATTTGTATTCCTAGGATCAATGCTCTAAGTTCATCTGCTGATATGTATGTGCTATGATTCTTGTCTATTCTATGGAACAGCCTGCAAATAAATTTAGAAAACGACTAAATGATGAGATCATGGCATTTCAGTGATTCAGGTGGAGTGAACTAAAAACAGAAACTGGGTACTTACCCTTTTATGTTGGATACATTAGGGTTTCCGCGTACTGTCAGAAGACTTGGCAGTATGTTTTCCGGTCTGTATTTACGCATCAAATATTCATGCCTTCTGCTCTGAATCCATGGCTGAAAGAACTGCATAATTGTTTTCTATCAGTTAAGAAGTTCACAAATACAACATTTCTAACTGATACTGAGTTCATCATTGCTTAAACAATCAGAAGTTTTCTTCGGATTCTTATTATTTCAGTCGTTCAACTAAGTATTGCCAAGGCAAATTTTATGTTCTTGAAATTTTGTGTTACCTGGTAGATGAAGTAATTGGCAAGGAATGCGGATGCAATCAGTAAAGAAACTAAGATCACAACTCGAACTGCTCTGGTTGAAGTCAAGATTTTTGCCAGTTGAAGAATGAGAAATGGGATCAACGACAGCATCATGATTCTTGCAGTATCTTGGGTTTCGACATCAGTTCTTACACCAGAACCTGCACAGCCATGTTTACTTATACATCAAGTTATCTTATTTTAGATCTTTTTGTCTCAGTGAGTGTGTTGATTAGTGTTTGTGGAAATCAGATAAGAAGTAAACCAGTTAAACTGAAGGGTTTCTTATTTTCTGGATTTGATGAAGTTTGAGAATCTGAGAGGTCGTAGCTGCCGAAAGCAACAACAGAACCCCAAATTAGGGTAAGAATCATGATTGTTGATCCTGCAAGCATGCCCATGCTCATTTCTGCCATTTCCTCCACAGTTGTTGAAGTTGCTGTAACTCCGGTAACTGGAGAACAAAATGTGAATTTTTGTTATTAATTTATTGCATGTCTGTATTTCTACTTTGATTATAAACCAGAACTTCTGAACATTTATCATGAATCTTTGTCATGAATTTACAAGACATATTACATATCATTGTTGACTTTACTTTTTCTTATAATTGCAGTTCCCCAAATTAACACTTGTTAACGCAGTGAGAAATGACGATTTTTTTTTTTTTTTTCCTTCAAAATGGTGCTTCACTTGTCTATAATTATGAAACGAAGTTTGGAGGGACTTATTTTTTAATAGTATTCATACAAACAATATAGCGTAATAGATTTCATTGAGATGGAGCAAGAAATTAAGGAGCTTACCAAGAACCATTCCAACTTGTGGAATCAAGCCAAGCATGTGGAAAGCACTAGCACCAAAGATACCAGTTCCAAACAATTCAAAAAAGAATTCAGATCCTTTTGAAACATACTGATCTGCAAGGGAAAGCAAGACCTCGTAGACGATTATCAGGGAAAGCAGCCCCCAAACTGACGTTGCACAAGGCAAGAAGCCATAAGTTGGTTCACAAGTCACAGAATCTGCTTTAAGATTCGGTGCTTCGAGGATCGAAGATTGGCCTCTTATGTCATTTATTCCATCGGATATAAGACCGGAGTCTCTGACAATCCGGCCACTTCCCAAATGGACTAGTTGGAGGACCAGGAAAATGATGAACAAAACTTGTCTAGACATATCCAGAGACACAGCTCTGTAAATGAAAAAATGTGAATGAGAAGGAAAACTTGCTCCTTGTTTAGGTTTGAATGGAGATCAATACCATGCAAATTGTGGCATCAGAAAAAATGGACAAAAAACTCAAACATGTGTGACATGAGCAAAATCCCTCTTTTCCTTCCTATAGATTTTGAACAAGTACGAACAAAAGTTGGTAATTTATAGAATGTAGCAGGTTTGCAGAAAAAGCTACCTGCCTATTTGGATTTTAAAATAATTTTACCAAATATATTCTTCTATACTTGCTCCACAATGCCATTAATTATTGCATAGTTTTGGATTAATATATAAGTAATGAATCACTGTAAATATAAATGTACACATGCATCTAATTATGCACATATAAGTTAGGCTAGTTGGTCAGAACAATGTGCATGTATTTTTGCATCCAAAGATCAAATCTTCTTCTCGATAAAATAGTTTAAAATAGAAGAAATTGTAGTAATGTTCCTTCAACTTTAACCCAATTAAAGCAATGGTGCATCAACTAAAAATATGTGGTCATTGGTCCTTTAACTCATAAAACCATGTAACTGTGATCATTTTTGTCAACTCCGTCAGATTTTTCATCAAAATGAGTCATTTGTCACGCACATGAGGCTGAATTAAGGGGCAAATATGGGAATCAAATGAGAAAATTGTAACAACGGTCCCTCAACTCTAACTAAATTGGAGCAATGGTCCCTCACATATGTAACTATTGGTCCCTTAACTCATTAAAATGTGTAGCTATGATCATTTTCATCAATTCAATCAGCATATCCATCAAAATTAGTCACGTGCCACACATGAGGCTGAATTAAGGAGAAAATATAAAAAACCAAAAATACCCCACAACCATGACACGCTTCCCTCGACCCTCCATGCCATGCCTCCTTTGCACCTTCAACACATCCAAAATGGCATTGTCTCCTCCTTCCCCGTCGTTGACAGCCTCTTCCCTCGTACCACTTCCTGCAATTCTCTTCCAGCAACCTAGAGCGCGCCGAGGAGGACAAGGAGCCATGGTGGATGGACTCTACGGACAAACTGATAATGTATCCCCACAACCATGATACACTTTGTTTAGCCTCATATGTGTGGCAGGTGGCTTATTTTGACGGAATTAACAAATATAATCATAACTACATGTTTTGATGAGTTAAGAGACCAATAATCATGAATTTTTAATTGATAGACCATTACTACAATTTACCTTTTAAAATATATATCATCTTATGACTCTTATCAATTAAAACAAGTATTCACCCGAGGAGAAGACTAACATACTAACATGTCATGATTCCAACGCATAGTATGTAGAAACGAATTAATAATATAGCCTAGCTACCAACACAAATCCATATGAAGCTTCATCAGTGAGCTGTAGTTCTAATTATCTACGGAATCCGAATTAAATAATCAAAGTACTGAGCATATTTTCAATGCCAACTTGGTCTGCAGACTGCACAGTGGTACAGGTGGGTTGATTTATATTGGAGAAATAGCTTACTTTCTAGTTTTTTCTTTCTTCATCAATACAAGGAGTTTTGTATCCCATGCATATGACAAGATCTGGACGAGTAGTTAGGATAATCAAGATTACTTTTTAAACAATACGCTATTTTAACCTATTCTAATTTACGTGAAGGTAGATTTGAACTTGAACATAAAAGTACATGCACACCACTCGACTAACTGGCCCAACACACATATCTTATAGTAGTAATCTTATGGTCAAAGCAATGCTCTACAAGGACCAAGTAGCCGTCTAAATACCCATGTACGTCCACTAGTAAGGGGTATAAGCATTTTAGAAATTTTAGTGTCAATGACTCGTTTGGATGTACTTTTAAAATGATTAAAAGTACTTTTGATTAAAGTGTTTGTGAAACCAAAAATCGTTAGTAAAAATGTAAGCAAATTCTGGAAAATCGTTTTCAGTGCTTTTAGAATCCAAAAATAATTTTGCGCTTTCAATCATTTTATAAGCACTTTCAAAGAAGCTCTAAATCATTTAATAAAAAATTTGGAGCAAAAGAAAATTTAGATGTCACAGCATGTATGACACAGTGAAGTGTATCAATAAGCAAGCAAACCAAACATAAACAGCCAAATTAATTCCATCTGCCCCGAGTTCATTTGCAATTCGATGGCTTACCAAGAACCCTCCAATGGTGAAGCCGCAGTGAGAGGCGGTTCGATAGGGAAGGAGTGAGATATCGTAAAGGATGACTTCTCATTAAAATTTACTTTTACGTAATTTTATGGAGAATTACTTTAGTCTAAAGTAGGAGGGGAAATCGCACTATTCATATGAACAGTGTTTTGAACCACATTTCAGTTTATTTACAAGATTGCCATCGCGTCTTCTGTTTCAGATTGAAATTTTCGACTTATTTACGAAATTGCCACCCTTCAGCGCACAAGTGTCGACCATCGTAGAAAGGTTGGGGGATGGAAGCAAACCTTATTTTGTTCCAGAGATCTCTTCGACGACAAGCCCATTTTGCTCCAAAGCTCTTTAACGACAAAGTCGATTCGGCGCCTCACCGTCGCACACCTCGCCTTCCCCTCGCCGTCGCACACCTCGCCTTACCTCGCCACTGCACTCCTTACCAGAACTCGAATCAATGGTAACGTGCCAATTGTATATATTTTTTGTCGATTTTTATCATTATTCTGGAAATTAGGGTTTGATCTAAATTTGGTGTGGGAGGATTTGTGGATGAATTTCAGGGAGAGAGGCATGGGATGGCAGGGAGGGGAAGGGAGAGGGAGGAGTGAGGCTGCCAAAAAGGGGGTTAGGGTTGATTTTTTATCCTCAAATCAATTGTTGGTGTCGGTGATTGAACGAGCATTGGTTAGAGGGGAACTTTCATTTCCTGTGTTTCTGAACCGGAATGGGATGGATGGGACCATGCTCTGTTGCACATTCAGATGAGATTTAAGGGATTTGGGGGTAGGGAAAGTGATTTCAGGGATTGGTAATCCTATCCTGTGTTTTCCCCTTATCTCTGTCACACTCAACCTCTCTCTAATCCTTTCTCTTTCTCTCTCTTTTAGACACTTCCTTTCTCCCGATTGTCCATCTCTCTCAACTTTAGTGCTAACCCTAATTTGTTCTTTCATTCCTCAATTTTCTCCGTTCGAGCAATGAAAAATCGAACTTGGTTTTCAGATTATTGATGCTTCACTGACAGAGAATGGAGATAGTTGATTGAGGGAGTTGGCGAGTATGGGCTTGCACAGAGGGAAGAACGTAGAAAAAGAGAGAGAGAGAGAGAGAGAGAGAGAGAGAGAGAGAGAGAGAGAGAGAGAAAGGGAGGGAACGATTGCACAGAGATAAGGAGAGACAGAGAGAGATCGCAGAAAGAGGAGGATGACAAAAATTGAGGAGGAGCCCATGTCTGCAGAGACTGAGTAAGTTTTGAACCAAAGCTTATTTTCTCTAATTTTTGGCTATGCGACAGCAAATTTCGGAAGCAGAAGAATCAAGGAACCTTGCGTTTAGAGTTTAATCCTAATTTTTTTTCTCTTTGCAGGACAAAAAACTACCAGGAAAGGAAGAGATTACCAAGAATGTAAAACCCAGACAGGAGAAGACAAGCAAGGGCGGAGGTACCAAGGCTGTAGATCTTTGATAAAAGGTATAAATCCTTTTTGTTTCTAGTACTAACTATCTCAACAATTTAGCGCTCAACTCTCGATTATTTTTAATATTGTGATGTTGTGATAAGAGCAAGATGAGATTCTTTCTAAAAATAAAAACAAAATTTTTTACTCGTTTGAAAGTATTTTTATAAGTGATTAAAAGTACTTTCATCAAAAGTGTTTTTTGAATCAATCAATAGTTAAAATGCAAATGAATTAAAAAAAAAACACTTGAAATATTTTTTACAAGAAACACATAACTGGTGCTTCTTGTAGAAAACACTTAAAAGTGCTTTTGAACCCAAAAATAATTTCATAAAAAACGCTTTCATTCAATTTAAAAACACTTTCAAACGAGTCATTATAAAAATTAAATATTAAATAAATAAAAGAACTGAAAATGAGCATGCAAGTGGCGAGGTAATAACACTCCAATTCAACCTAATCCATTAGTGAATGGTTATGTTTGAAACAGTTGGTCCATTTGGTTGGAAGAAAGAATGAAACTTGTAAAAGAAACAATTTACAGACAAATTTGAAATGGTGTTGATCCTTTTGGGTAAATTTTACTAATAAGAACATAAGCACGTTTTATTTACAACCAAACTCCAGAACACCAAGTTATATCGAGGTCAATAGGTTATAATGAGCAAAACCGACACCGACGGCAGGATTAGTGAACCATCGAGTTGAGTCGCTGGTGCTGGTAAAAATGTGGAGCTGCCTCTGTGAGCCAAGAAGGATCTATCGAAATCACATTCCGCATGTACTGCTTGTCGGTTGAGACAAGAGAATGGTACAGAACCCACTTGGGATTAACTCTGCAAGCAAAATGAATTAACACAGCTTAAGATCGTCTAACTAAGCTCTAATAGAAAGATAGTGACTGAAAGGCGAAAGGAATAACAGTTGGAACATCGCTGCTTAGGTCCGGCGAAGCATAATTTAAGAAACGTATATGCGATTAAAGTCAAGAAAGGGGCGACGAATGGGAGGGGGGGGATTCAAATCAATAGTAAGCAGTCCCTGAGTAAATAATTCTTTACTTACCTGAATAACACGGATGATGGGTGAATATAAACTTCTTGAGAACCTCTAATAGTCTTGTACTTCCCGTCGTGACTTGATGCCTTCAGAGTTCAGACAACGGAACAGTTATCAAACAGTAAGAAAATTTTGTACAAGCCATCATGGTATAATAAAAAAAATAATAATCTAATAAAACAGAACAAGGTGAACCTAAAAAAAGTTTTTACTGGAAAGAAAATGGTTGAAACTCATAAAACCAAAAGAAATAAAGCATTAGTGCAAAAGTAACAAAGAAAATTACTCACATCTAATCGACATGCATTAGCGAAAAACCCACTAGTAATGGCCTTCCTCACTACCTGCAAGATGTAAACAGTAGAAACATTCAGAAACCAGAAAAAAGAAACCCCTTTACCACCCCAAAAAATATTGAAAAAGATAAAACTTCCAGGTTTCTAGAAAAATATGCTCTCAAATGAGGACCATAAGAAAATGAATCAGTCCTACTTGGGTCGGGAACTTTGGATGCTTGATGCCAATTGAATTGTTGTTTTTATACTGAATGGAAAAAACTTACCACTGTGTCTCTTTCACAAGATTTCAAGACAACGCCTAATCTCTGAGCCGTTCTTCTGAGTTGTCCTCTAATTTCAATAACCTTTTTCTGCACAAAAGAAACATGTCACTTAAAAAAGGTGCATCGACCACTGTCTGGGAAATTGATCAATCCAAATACTGATACAAACCATGGCTTGGTAGTTTACAAAGTTCTTATGGCACCACTGCGGCGATTTACCAGACTGAAGAAATCCTTTGTAGACATTTAGGAAACTCACGTGGTCGCCCTGCATGGAATCAAGAATATCAAACAGGATAGCACTAAGCATAGAAAGATTAAACAAGTTGAAAATATATTCCATTAAAAATTTTGAAATTTAGTACCTCAGCAGCCGCAAAATTCAACTTGGCTTCATCCAGTTCCTTCTGCGATCCCCTACCCGAAACCCAGATAGTCTGCAGGACGAATATTTTAATTCTGAAGTACTGAATGGAAGATTTCTTTTCAAGTAGCATTCATATACAAAGTACAAATTGAGATATTTTCTGTAAAACTGAATGTGGTTTATTGTAACGAATGTGCAACCTAAATATATATGCATATTTAGGTTGTTCTTCAAAAATTTGATTCTAATGGTGAGTTGGAGAGAAGAAAAATGTACAAAACCTTCAGTAGTGTTAAGAGAATTAATGGGACTTACTTGAATGGAGAGAACGGCAGCAATGGTAATTATCTCTTCTGAACACCCCAGTTCACCTGAAGATAATATCATTTTTGCAATCATTGGTTCCTACAAAACATTTAATTTAAACAAACTAGTCAAATTCTTATTTACAGCAACCCGTACAGAAGTGTGAACATTAAAAAAAAATATGAAGAATTTCAGACGACAAAAACGACATATGAAACCAGTATTTTCACAACTGCTTCACTAAATGCATTTGAGAAGGTGGTTAGCTCAAGAAAAGATATTAGTGGGAGATATAAAAAACGAAATGCAACTGTCATACTGCATTCCATTAATTGTGGCATACAAATCCAATATGACAACAAACTGGAATTATTATGCAGAAGCAGAAGGATCACACATTTCATTTGCAACGTACCAATGGAAACTCAGCAATTTGAAATCCAGTTGGCGAAGTAAGTTTTGCATCATCATCTAGGACTCCAAGTGAATAAAGCACTTCAAGCGCTCGAACCATTGCTTCGGAAGAAGGAGATGCTGGCCAATCAAAACCCAGGATATTATCTATTCCCAAGGCTTTTAACTGGAAGGCAAGAAGACACTATTAGCATCTACTTTCCAGAAGAAAGCTCTCAGCTCATAGTCAATTATTAAACATCAAAGTATTGCACACAAAAGAATCACTAAGTCTGCAGGCATGAGACTCATGGAAAATTTGATTAATTTGAAACGAATATTCTAACATTAAGTTCATAGACTATTGTATGTCCTAGAACTATGGGATAGCCGTATCACATATTTGAGACATATACAGGGTGCTCCAGATGGAGGCCTACTGGCAATGAAAAGCATGGCCTTGCACCATAAGAGAATACCTGAATCACACAGGACACAAGATTTGACCTCTGTATCTCTGGAATCCCCTCATCAGACATTTCCTTTGCAAAATACTCTTCCGTATATAGCCTGTTGTAGCCATGGAAACATAAAGGGGAAAAGCAACTTTGTTAGGACTCAGAATTAGCTTAAAGAGAAATGGTTATTAGTTTATAAAGCATCCATCAAAATAGTCATATCAGGACTTATTCTGTATCTGTTGCATATTACTTCTTATGGGAAGTATATCTCTGTCAGCTTATATAATAATCTTGTAGGCGCATAAGATTGATAACTTGTCTATAAACTTAAACTCTCAAGTGATTTTCTTTTTATCTTTTAACAATAATATACCTGTTCTCGAAAATTTTGAGGAGTATCTTAGAATTAATTGCATCCACAAAACTAACACATTACATAAGGTCTTTTCATAATATAGGTCTTTTCACAATATGGCACAAGTTAGTGGAACAACAAAGTGAAGTAAAATAACCATAAAGGGTGCAGACCTGTAACATTTCCCAGGCCGAACTCTTCCAGCCCTACCAGTTCTTTGTCTAGCAGATGCCTTGGATATTGGTGCCACTACCAGATTTTCAATATCTGTTATCTATGAAAAGTAGATATAGAGTAAAAAATAAGAACAGTCAGATAGGCCTTGGATATCAATGTTCCAGTATCAGCAAGAATCACAAGTTCAAAGATTCCTATTAAACCAAAGTACATAATCTTCAACATAGCAAATCTTATACGTAAGTGGCAGGAAGGCAAGTCCTGCAGTCAGTATATACAGGCAATGAACATACTCGCTTTACTAAATGTGTGCCTCTGTGTGTGTGTGTGTGAGAGAGAGAGAGAGAGAGAGAGAGAGATGATGATGAATATACCGGGTTGTAGAAACGCTGCTTCGAGAACCCACTGTCAACAACATAGACAACGCCCTGTACCAATTAAAGGAATATGGCCAGATGATGATGCAGTGCCTAATTGCTTCAAAGTGAAAACTTTACAGCTATCACCCTATTTAGCATATGTGTTACCTCCAAAGTTATTGACGTCTCTGCTATATTGGTTGATATCACTACTTTCCTCTTCCCTCTGGGAGTAGGAGTGAACACCAGCTCCTAAAAAGCACAAAAATAGAGGCCAAGATCAGAATTTGAAAGAAATTCGCAAGCCAGCAAGAATAGTCTACTTCATCTAAGTACACAAAGTGTAGCAAACCTGCTCAGCACGTGGAAGTCCTGAGTAGAGCGGCACAAGCATCAATCCTGAAACATGAAGACATAATCCTTATAAAAATTGATGCATGTAGCAGAATCTTAAACTTTAGATTTTTAAACCCTAAACCGGTAAACCCTACTATTCCAAATTACACTATTTGGAACTTGGATTTTTAAAACAAATATTTACTATTAGTAATAATATATCTGCAAAGATTCTGCACCTGATGAGTTCTTTCCACGGTTTTGAGCTTCTTCAGTAATCAGCTGTACAGCAGCATCAATATCATCTTGACCAGTAAGAAAAACCAGAATATCTCCCATTGGTTCCTATACAATAAAATCAGTAAGGTTTTGTAGTAGAACTGAAAATATATGCATGTACACATGCAGGATGTTCATGAATGTAACAAACTGAAAACCTGTCATTTCATTATACAAAGAAAAATTTTAGTGTCATCCAAATATCAGCTACCTGGTCATGGATCAATAATACAGTTGACACAGTAGCCCGAAGATAGTCAGATACAGGCTCCTCCACATAATGAATTTGTACATTAAACCCTCTACCCTGAAAACAAAAAGGATTTGTTGATGTCTCAGTTTTTATATAACTGACAGTAGAGTAAGCTCGAAACTTTTTGCACCACCATATAAAGTTTCTTCTGCGATGAGTGAATGAGAGAGAGAGAGAGAGAGAGAGAGAGAGAGAGAGAGAGAGAGACAGATACAGAGAGAGAGACAGAGAGACAGAGACAGAGACAGAGAGAACCATTATCTTACGGGAACTTACCTCAACTGATAGGACTGCAGGCTCCGTATTTGGTCCAAGATCCTCTCCGTCTGGTCTGCGACGACTTTTTCTGGTTTACCATAAAACAAGATATCAACACTAACATTTCAAGTTCATTATACACATATGCTCATGATATACACAGACAAATGTAATGGCAGAATTTCTAGGTGTATTTTACCCCTGACAATAAATCAACAAATCATATATTCCTGTAAAGAACAGTGCGAATATAAATTTGCCAACTTTTCACTTTTCAGGGCAGTGATTACAATCCACAGAAAACTAAGTAATCACAAAGCAGGCAATAGCATACTAGTAACCCAAAGAACGAAAGAACAAATTCATGTGATCAAATGCTAAAAACAAACCTGGGCTGAAAGAATTCAGACATCGACTTTGCTTGAATTGTGGCAGATGAGATAATCAGACGCAGCTCAGGTCGGCGTCGTTGGATCTAGAATTTCAGGATTCAACAGACATATCATAAAAGCGCCAAAAGAAAACACTAAAAACCCAAAATCTTTTGTTGATTTGTGAGGCAACGGGATATGATTTTTTAGCTGATACCTTTTTCAGGAGACCCAATAAAATGTCAGTTGCGATAGACCTTTCATGAGCCTCATCAACCATTATGACGCTGACAACCAAATCAGAAGAGATTGTGAGGAAAATGAAAGTTGATAGAAAGATAGTAATAATATTAATAACCAACTTTTTCATGCAAATAACTCCGCCTTCACCAAAAACAAATACAAAACAAAAGAAAAAAGAAAGAAGTCCTAGTTAATTTTCTACAAGCCACAACCTATCAATGTAAAAAGACATGGAATTTCACTTTGCACTCCATAAGGAATGGGCAGCAAGTATGTCATATCTCATTATTAAAGACACTTTTGTATCAGTTCTAGGAAGGCAGTAAATACTATACAAAAATGATAGCTAGTACCTATATTTAGTCAAAAGAGGATCATCCATCATTTCCCTGAGTAGCACACCATCAGTCAAAAACTTTATCATAGTTACACCCTGTGCTGCCAGAACAGTAAAACCGTCATTCACGACATGGAACTACAAACATGATAAATGGCATTGCAGACAATCCAACAAGAGATATGGTATGTGAAAAGATACTATGGTATGTGAAAAGACAATCCATCAAGAGAAAGTCAGAGCTTAAAATGATTAATAATGGGTCTCATTGTACTTGTAACATCTTCAAATCTTATAGTGTAGCCAACTTCCTCCCCAAGCTTGACCCCCATTTCTTCCGCGACCCTTGCAGCAACTGCCTGCATCAAAGGAAACCTTAAGAATCAGCTTTAGTTAAGACCATCAATATTAGTCCATAACATTTACTGTCAGTTGTGTATATTCATAAAGTTTTTATCTTTAATGTCTACCGGGTTCGGATGTAAGTTTAAATAAATAAAGCGGCCAAAAGTTTGACTTTTTCCTTAGGAGAGGAGAACCAGTTACTTTCTACCGAGACATCTCTATAAAAGTATTTACAAACTAAAAGCTGCATAACAAGAAAGATAAAGAGGGTTCGATGATGCATTTAATTCAACATTGAAATTCAGGCAATAAGAAATCTTCAATGTGAAGATTTTCAAGCACGGTTTGAACATTCACGCAAATACCACAACTTTCAGATGACTTAGAACACTATAGTAAAACTGGGAATAGCTGAATACCACAACTTTCAGATGACTTGGAACACTTTAGTAAACCTGGGAATAGCTACCTGATGAAATTAATGAAACAAATTATGCAAGCAATGCTATGCTTAATAAACTGGGAATAGCTAAAACCAATGAATCACCTGGACAGCCAGCCTCCTTGGCTGGGTGCACGCTATAACCCGCCCTCCGTCAGCCCAACCGGCTTCTTTGAGGTACTGCAATTCCAGTAGACATATCATAAACACTTTGAACTCACTTCAATTCATCAACTCAATAGAAATTCTGAATTCGAAACTAACAAATAACACCAAAGCTCCACTCGGGTTATTGAAAGGTATGAAAAAAAAGTCTTGGGTTTCAGAAAAAAGAAGCAAACCTGAGGAATTTGGGTGGTTTTGCCGCTGCCCGTTTCGCCGACTACGATGGTAGTGGCGTGAGTCTCTACCAGGTAAAGAATGGCGGTGCGGTACCGGAACACGGGCAGCCTTTGCCTCTGCCGCTCAATGTTCGCGTACCCAGAAGGGGAATTGAAGAAAAGGACACCGCCCTCTTCGTCGTCGACGAGGCGGGGCTTCTCGGTCCCTGGTTTCCAGAACTGCGACATTGTTGTGGCTCTTGCTTTTTTCCTCGGCGATTTCCTCCGTTGGGGTTTTAGAGCTTAACAGGTAGCTGCTCGCTCGAACACGGCGCGCAGGGCAGTCCCTAACCCGTCGTGTTGGGCTCCAACACCTGGACCCGTCGTGTTTGGACTTTCAAGCCCACCGTTTGGTTCGTTTGCCTAATCCCCAACCCACTCGAAACAAGCATATAGATAAATAGAAGAGTTGGGTCTTAACCTGAAGCCCACTCACATACAACAAAAACTAGCCTCTCTGCAAGTGCTGAAGACAGTTTCGTTTAATGGATTTTTTTGTTGCTTTCTATTTGATTTTCTGAATCGAGTTGGATTGGCCAGTCCATTAGGGATTGGTTGCTCGAGCTTGGCGGGCCAGGTCGAGTTGTGCCCTCATACATTTTTAATAAGGGAACTTTAACGAAAATCTCTCGGTACTGTTCACTTTAATGAAAAACCACATTTTTACACTAAAAAATCAATCATGATACTATTCACTTTACCCTTTATTTTGTCCTTATCGTTAAAACTCAAAGTTTTCAAGTCATTTTCAATAGTTTTCCTTTTTAATAATGCAAATGATTCGTTGGATATGTGGGCACACGAGAAAGGGTGACATTAAAAATAAGAATATCAAAGTAAAGTAAGAGTGGCCACAATTGAAGATAAGATGAGAGAAAATCGGTTAAGGTGGTTGGAAATTTAACGAAGACCAACAGATGCTTTGGTAAAAAAAAAAAAAAAAAAAAAAAAGAGATTATGAGATAGAAACTCAAGACAAAAAGGATAGAGAAATACTTAGGAAGACTCAGAGGCTTCAAGAAAAAACATGGAGTACTTGAAGCTAACGGAAGACTTAGCACAAAACCGAAGACAGTAACGTTCTAGGATTCATATAGTCTACCTCACTTAATAGGATAAGACTTTATTGTTGTTGTATAGGTGGGCATAGTTGAAGCCCCATTAATGATGTAATCCATTCCAAAGATTTCCATGGAAATAATTTACCAATAAACAAATCCTTGTTGGAGATAAAATATAAAAAGAAAAAAAAATACAGAGAGAATGGGAAGATATAAGAGTATATATTATTCACATTAGATAGCTTATTTATAGGCCTTAGAGTTTACATAAAAAGGCGTTAAACTATCAAAATATTAGATATTGACAAAAAAATGAACGATCATATTACAAATATTATTTCCAACGAACATAATAATAATATCAAGGCCATGAAGCATGGAGCCCTGCGTACGGTCAACCCTTGGATCTGGTCATGTGTTACTTAATGAGCAAACTAAATCTTACTTTGACGTATCTTTCTATCATTCATAGTACATTACAATTTACAACTAATTAAGGTCGAAGTTAAGGAGGAAAGTTATGGAAAGGGGACAGCTAAGGGAAAACACAAAAATAAAAAAAAGGGAAAGACACCCGATCGACTCACCAACATCAAACACAACAAAGACATTCTAATTCCGTATTTTTAAGTTTGATTTCCCGATTAAGTTGGGTTTTATGTTTCTTGTTTTAGGGTGTTATCTTTTGTGTTTCGATTAGGATTCTTGTTTCAATTAGAGTTATTAATTAAGTTTACTATATACATAAACAATTGTTTTAGGTGAGTTTGTCGAATTTCAGTTACGTACACATTGTGTTTCTTGTACCTCAAGCAATTGCATTCGTGCGCGCACAACACTCTCTTTCCTTAAGAGCTCATGCGGATTCATACATATTTCTGGAAGTGACTTTCAAGTGTCCATGTGGATGGTGTGGAGATAAATTAATCGAATTTGTATCTGAAATTGATGGTGTACTATATAGTAAGATTGTTGATGTGGAGCAAGGGAAGTTGGTTGTGACAGGAACCCTTGGTAAAAAGCAACTCATCACGGCGATTAAACATTCAGAATTTTTAGTGGGTGTGAAGCTTTGGGGAAGTCAAAGGGTTCCAAAAACTGGCGAATTCAACTCGAAAACCAGTTCAAGGACATGGTTACTGGTGAAAATAGCAAAGGTGGTGGCAAAGGAAAAAAAATTGTCGACCTCGATTTGTCTGATGAAGAGGTGCTGGATGATGATGGTTTGGGGAGATGGGTTGGCAGAAATATAAGTAAAAGACTGAACTGCATGAAACAGGAATGTCAAGATGGTGACGAATACAATAGTGCTAAAGTTCAAGGATTTGCAAGAAGCAAGAATCAAGAATGTAAAGGTGATGGTGTTCCAAACCTATCATGTGTTGTTACGTGTTTTGACTTTCCCACATGGTTTCAGAGGATTTGGTTGGGACACCTCTCATGCATTGCTACGAATTTTAAATTTTCCACATGGCGTTGGGTGATTGGTTGTAAACATGGCCCCTTTAAAACTGTCATCGGTTTATGTAAGTCTTTATTTAAGAATGCAGTCAAACATTATGGGAATAAACATGAAAATAAGCAACTAATGAAGAACACGGAACGTGACATTAATTGATGCTTCGAATCATAGCAAAGTAGGGAACGACGGCGCCAAAGAAGTCAAAGGAAGCAATCCTGATAACTTACAGGATCTTCTGTCCTCCTCCCCTTGGGGTGGTGGGGAGAGAATACAGGAAACCTCCTCTGTGTGTGGGTGTGTTCGGACCATGTGGACGGCATATCAGCCGGACCTTAAAATTTCTCCCGATAACCAACTGCCGCAACAGCAGGATACGATGGCGGCGACGATGATGGATGAAAATATAGCAATTGATCCTTCCACTTTATTCAGTGGTGAAAATGTTCATAGTTGCGTTATTTTGTAAAATTGCAACATTTTTTCTCTATTTTTTTGGGCGATTCAATTTATTTCCTCGGATTGTTGTGTCCTCTAGGATTCATATTTTTGTTTGAGTTATAAGATTTTATTTTACTTTTCAGTTACAGTGTTATTTGACTTTTGCTTATTATGCTACTTTTTAATGGGTAAATTTTTCAAATTAAACTTTCTTTGACTTCTCTTTCTCTCACCATGACAATGGACTTTGTAAGACAACAAACAAGTTTCAATGAAAACTAAGGAATGATACGTTTTCATACAAGAGATTTTTTAGTGTATCTGAAATACAGGATAACATGTCATCTGTTATTATATAATAATACACGACGTTGTATTCGAATCACATTGAAAAATCTTTCTATACTCGTAAGTAAAATTATGGTTTGCTTCATTATAATTTTTAATTATTCTCTCAAGATGTCTTTTCACAGAGGTGTGGAGAAAACATTCTTTTTAGGGTTTTTATCACAATTGGTCCCTGAAATTGATCATCACTATCAAGATGGTCCATGAAATTGAAAATCAATCAATGTATTCCCTAAAAATAGGTGTCGCAAATCAATGTGGTCCTTTCGTCACAATTCTGTTAAAAATTTCGTTAAGTGCTGATGTGGCATATAAATGGGTCCCATAAGTCATTTTCTCTCACAAATGGTCCTTGAAATTTACCCGCGACATCAAAATGACCCTTCAAATTAAAAATGGATCAATGTAGTCCTGCAAGTAAGTATCCCAAATCAATGTAGTCATTCCGTCACAATTATGTCAAATATTCTGTTATGTGCTGATGTAACACAAAAATGAATCACACAAGTATAATTAAATTAAAAAAATTAAAAATAGGTTTAACAATTTAATAGTTAATAAAAAGTAATGAACCCAAAAGCTCAGTCCTGCAATCACTTCTAATCCTAGTCCACATTCCTTTACCTCCTTCGTTATTTATTCTTTAAAAAAAAAAAAAAATCTCAATACAGCCACCTTTACACACTTCGACACCCTTCACCAAATTAAACCTGGATCGAGATCACCTTTAGTGACCACTTGGCTGATTGGCAACAACTTATGGGACATCACCATTAGCATTTAGGCGATCAACATCTTCACAACCTTAATCTTGGAGAGCTTGTTAGGCACTTTTCTGCTGGTCTGGTGACTCAAAGAATGGAAATGACACGCCCCGATCCCGATGTCCGAGGGACATTGGGATGGCCACATGTTGGCCGACACCCGAGGGTGACGAAAGCCATTTAATGAATGCATATGCTAAGAACATGTAAAACATGCATTTTAGAAGGGGTCCACTGACAGATACTTCATCGTCGAAGAGCCATGCGAAATAGCTAGGAAGAACGGAATTGCCGTTAATAATTGCACCTAACACATAAAGTGTCCAATTAATAAAACTCTATTAAAACGATTAAATTTGAAAAACGTACATAAAAAAACAGATCCAGGACGTCGAAATTAGCCCAAGAGGGATTCCGAACCCGTTGACTTTGATTGGTCAACAGTAAACGTTGACTTTTGTTGGTGTTTGGGAGAATATCAGGGTTTGGCATGTTAGGAGAGGTCTACCTCGAGATAATGAGGTTATAACCAAGGTGCATTTATTGTTGGTTGAAAATTGTTTCCAAACCCCCTCTTAGGCCTTGGTTAAGCCTTGTGCCCTTGAGAATTTATGAAAGGGATCTCTCTTCGGAATAGGTCATACTATAAGAAAAAAATTCTATTGTGCAAAAAGGTATTTAGACAAATTTTTAATTAATTATTTATTAAACCTACATTAGCACATAACAAAAAATTAACAAAATTGTGACGGAATAATCATATTGATTTGTGGCACTTATTTTCAAGAACTAAATTCATCGATTTTCCATTTTAAGGACCATCTTGATGGTGTGAGTCAATTTCAGGGATCATTTGTGATAAAAACTCGTAAATCTTGTAGTGCCCATTTATGTGCCACATCAGCACTTTTTGAACATAATTGTGACGGAATAACCACATTGATTAGCGACACCTATTTTCAAGGACTACATTGATTGATTTTCAATTTCAGAGACCATCTTGATGGTGATGATAAATTTCAGAAATTATTTGTGATAAAAACCCTTCTTTTGATTAATCGCATTGTTGATTGTTTTAAAGTGGTTTTTTTACTATTCATTTCTAGCAATTTGGAATTCTAATTTTGGATTGGTTAATCGTTTCGATCTTAAGTTTCATCTCAGATATACTAAATTGTGACCAGAATTTGAGAT